GGCACTCTACCCAGGGGGACAGCTTGAGGCTCTGTCTCAAAAAAAAAAAAAAGAGTGGGGAAAGAGACACAGACGTGTGACAGAATGCAAGTCACACGCCTCTGATCCCAGTGCTGAAGTAAGAGGCAGGAGGGTCACAGGAGCCCAGGAGCTGGAGCCCAGCCTGAGCAATAGTGAGACCCCAATTCTACTTACATATGAGATCGAACAATTAAGTTCACAAACTGATCCTAGAAAAATGCTTCACATCTCACTGCTGAATAACCTGAATTATACTATGGTCACCAGAAGGCTAAGGGGAATAGTACTTCTGAAGTGACTATGTGATACTCAGCAATGAGGTATGTAACACTTTTTCTAGGATCAATTCATGAACTTCATTATCAGACTTTGAATGACAACAGCTCTAATGACCATTCTAGAAAAAGACTTCCAAACTTGCTATGAAGGTGTCAGAACACAGCTAACCAAGGGGGCACTTCTATGGTGACCACAGTGATGTCCAATAACGAGGTACATAGCACTTTTTCTAGGATCCGTTTAAAAACTTAACTGTTGCAGACACTAGTAGTTCCTGCTACTTGGGAGGCTAAGGCAGGAGGATCACTTGAGCCCAGGCATCTGAGACTGCAGTGAGTGGTAATGAGTGCACTCCAGCCTGGGCATCAAATCAAACCCTTGTATCAAAGACAAGAAGTGCAGAAGATTGAGAAAGGTGCCCAAGGTAACATGGCGGTAAGAGGTGCCCAGGAGACAGCAGTGAGAGGTGCAGGAGGGTTAGGTAAGTGCCTGGGCGACACAGCAGTGGGAGGTGAGGGAGGTGAGGCAGGTGCCCGGGTGACACAGCAGTGAGAGGTGAGGGAGGTGAGGCAGGTGCCCGGGCGACACAGCAGTGGGAGGTGAGGGAGGTGAGGCAGGTGCCCAGGCGACACAGCAGTGGGAGGTGAGGGAGGTGAGGCAGGTGCCCGGGTGACACAGCAGTGGATGGTGTGGGAGGTGAGGCAGGTGCCTGGGTGACACAGCAGTGGGAGGTGAGGCAGGTGCCCGGGTGACACAGCAGTGAGAGGTGTGGGAGGTGAGGCAGGTGCCCGGGTGACACAGCAGTGAGAGGTGAGGGAGGTGAGGCAGGTGCCCAGGTGACATAGCAGTGAGAGGTGTGGGAGGTGAGGCAGGTGCCGGGGCGACACAGCAGTGGGAGGTGTGGGAGGTGAGGCAGGTGCCCGTGCGACACAGCAGTGAGAGGTGAGGGAGGTGAGGCAGGTGCCCGGGTGACACAGCAGTGAGAGGTGAGGGAGGTGAGGCAGGTGCCCGGGTGACACAGCAGTGGGAGGTGAGGCAGGTGCCCGGGTGACACAGCAGTGGGAGCAGACATATGAACATGGGCAGGCAGGGTAGCCCTGCTCCTAACTACCTCATGATATTCCCACCCTTTACAAAGCAACCAAAATTACAAACACTTCCCCTAAAAAATACATACCAGCAAACTCTTTCACCAGTAATTCCAGGAGCTTCTAGAGAATCCCTGGGACTGGCTGTAAAATATTATAACCTAACACTCTTTCTAGGGCTCTGTAGGGAATATGCCAGTTAGTAACAAGTCAGTTTCAGTTTCTGCTTCATGATAATAAAGGCTATCCACACTCAAGCACCCACAGAGCACCTATCCCAGGAAATCCTGTGAGTCTCAGGCTGTCTCCTGCCCTCCCTCCGGTGCAGCCTTCTCCTTTCGCCACTGCTTCTGGGCGACATTAGCTGATGTCTATACAGAGAATGGGGCCAGGTCTCTAACTTGCCAAACTAACTGAAACACTGAGGTTTTATTGGATTAACCAGGTCTTCACAAACGTCTTAAGTACTGAAAACTAAATCTCTACTATGAAATTCTTCAAAATCAGAGTGTTTGGGAAAGAGGCACACCATAGACTGGCTTGCAGAGTGGGGCCTACTGCGAGCGGGTCAGACTCCTGTCCACTGTCACATGATAAGTTACAGTTAACACAGCAAGAAACACTTTAACACAGGTGGTCAGATGACTCTGGAACACTTCCAAGAGTAGTGAGCAAAATTTGTTGTATGAGCGTCTATCCCTTGAGCCTCTCATGCACGAGGCCCCTGATTGAGCCACTGCAGTGAGAGCTGAGCATGCAGTCCCAAGGTGAGCTGCTCCACCGCCAGGGGACAGGCCCCAGGAGGGGCCACCCCAGCTAACTCAGGGACAGGCCATTCAATAGCTCAGGGTCACTAGCAGCTTGTTTAAACAGTTTTTAATTCTGATAAGAGCCATGACAGTAACTGTACAAACTGAAAACTGTGATTTAGGGGTGAAAAAAGTTTGAAAAGACTGGGTCCTTACTGTATAAAATTTAAAACAGAACATTTCATGGAAAAGGTTAAACATACTTACCTTTAAATTTTGATCTAATATTGGCCAGTTCCTTGTTTATCCTCTTTATTTCTGCTTCTTTACTTTTGCCTGAGGGAAGGAAAACACAAACACATTCTTACTTTAACTACTCTCCGGAGGACCACCATTCCCTGATCAGACAGCAGCTTTCAGGACTGGGTGCAGCTCTGGAGCCCCAGGAACCCAGGGAACAGGAATGAATCTGCCTCTTGTGCCTGTGGTCCCAGGACCCTGAGGGGAATGGCACTATAGGTGCCAGCACACAGAACCCAGGTCAGGGTGCCCAGTCCACTAATGCTGGGGGGTTTGTTTTTTGTTTTGTTTTGTTTTGTTTTTTAGACAGAGTCTCACGATGTTGCCTCACAGCTCACAACAACTTCAAACTCTTGGGCTTACGTAATTCTCTTGCCTCACCCTCCCGAATAGTGGGACTATAGGCACCTGCCACAACGCCGGGCTATATTCTGTCACAGTTGTCATTGTTATTTAGCTGACCCAGGCCGGGTTGGAACCCTCCAGCCTTGGTGTATGTGACCGGCGCCCTACCCACTGAGTATGAGTGCCGCCTGGTTGGGGTGGAGGGGGGGGTTCATTCCTTTTGCCACAGTTCTAGAACTGACCATTTTCTACCATAAATCATTATCAGCCAATAATAGTTTACTTCCATAATTGATTTTCACAGCCAAACATAATAAAAGTACACAAACTACTATAGGCTTCTAATTATCTTTTTATGAAATTCATCAGACTACAAAATCTACCAAGTCCACGTTTATAATATCCAATTGTGATATTCTACACATATATTGGGTTTTGCTCACAGTTCCTGACTCATAATTTCTGTAGCCACTATTCTTTCTCCCCAAGGCAAGCCACGGTACTAAAAATGTACTGTAATCTTCCCCTACCTTTCTGTCTTGGCCATAAAGAAACCCTCTGACCTCCCTTGTCTGATCATAGGTCACGAGACCCCCCACCACCACTTCAGTAGGGTCCTGCCCACACCCTGGGGAAGGAATGCTGCCCAGAAAGGCCTAGAAGAATCTGAACAGACAGGCCTTGCTGGCTGTCCCCACTGCAGCCTGTTAGCATCAGACCACCTTCTGCCCAGGCACATTTCCACATGGCTGTCAATCATGCCTGTCCAATAAAGTCCCCATAAAGGGCCCAAGAGGATGACAGGGTCCAGAGATCCTCTGGACAGCTGAACATCTGGGGGTTCTGGGAAAGCGGTGTACTCAGGGAAGGCATGGAAGCTTGGCACCCCAGCCCACATGAACCTCCCACCCACACCCTCAGTAAGACCCTCTGTGATGAGCTAGCAAATGTGCTTCCCTGAGCTCAGTGAACTGCTCTATCAAGTTATGGAACTCAAGGGTGGTAAGATCCCTATTCAACCTGGGGCTGCTGATGGATCTTGGAAGCAGGGAACCCTCTAAAAACTGAGCCCTCATCCTGTGGGACCTGACACCAGGTAGACAGCAAAGGAAATGAATCCAAGGACCCCCACCCCCGCACACACTGCAGAACTGACTGCCTGTGGACTGGTAGGGAGAAACCCTCCCACACTGTGGGGTCACAGAAGTCCTCTGTGTCGATTATGGTATGAGGAAAAACAGCCTAAGAATTTTTTTCAGCTTGCACCAGTCTGGGAATTCTCCAGTGTACAAAAAAAGACAGCAGGTCCATCAGAAAAATGGCAACAAACATTCAATACCCACTAGCGTGTTGCTTAAGGGGCTTCATGTCAGGCAGAGGACAGAAGAGGAGGCCACTGGCATTTAACCCCCTGGACTAAGTGTAGAAGTTGAGTGGGAGAGCAAGGTGACCAGCAGGGCTGTGTGTCTCTAACAGGCCCTGGAAAAACACTGCTCCCATCACCCAGGGTAAGTGGTCTGATCTCCACTTTGTGGAAGCAGAGATTAAGCTGACTATGAACGGGGCCCTCTCACACAAGTCTCTGGTCTAAAGATCTGAGGCAGCAGGGAGGCCTCGGCAGCAACCTGCCCACATCGGATCCACAGCAAGCAACCTACAGACCCCCTGGCCTTAGACAGCCATCCCCAGAACTTAGCCTGCCCTACCCAGTGACAGCCCCTCCTCCCAGACACTCCCAGGATGTCATCAATCTCTCACTATATACTTGCTAAGAAAAAAGGTTTAATTTTTACCAAATTAAAGGAATACTCCCTTGAGCCAATCCCACCCTAGAAACCTCCAAATGGAAGAAGACAGGAAAACCAAAGGCCTGTGTGGCAGCTCCCTCACCAAGCACCATCCAGGTGACATTCAGGTGACAGGACAGATGCTAACAGAGTGCCTCCCAACCTTGAGAGCCATTAACAGGACAGAGCCACCAGACTACCTATGCCAGTCCCTCCCTTACCAGCCCCGTGTGTGCCCAGGAGGCTGGTCCTAGACACAAATCCTGAGCAGGGCCCACACCTCCCTGTGTGAGGACAGCTGGCCAGGGAAAGGCCCGGGAGGAAGCAGAGCAGGTGCCTCAGCCCACGTGCATGCTGGGTGGCGCCAGCAGCCTCACTCCAAGGTAGCAGGTTAAGGGCAAAGCTTTTTCCTGAAATTTTTCTTAAAAAGTAGCAGCTTTGTTAAAGCAGGTTCTTTTGGCTCCCTGAGCAGCACAGCACAGTGCCCTCTGGGCCAGGCCTGAAGGTGGGAGCCCTAGAGCAGCCTCTGGTCACTGTGGGACACCTCCAAACCATAGGTCCTTCAAAATGAAAGCCCTGGGAAGCCACAAAACCAGTATCACCCATAGCCTGGACAAGGTTTGCACAAAGTGCTCTGCACAGGAGGCAACGTGCCAGTGTGCGTGCCTGTGTGTGCCAGTGTGCGTGCCTGTGTGTGCCAGTATGCGTGCCTGTGTGCACACGTGTGACAGTGTGTATTCCTGTGTGCAGGCATGCCTGTGTACGTGCCTGTGTGTGCACATGAGCCAGGGTGCAAACCTTGTGTGCACATCTGTGTATGCACACGTGTCTGTGTGCACATGCCAGTGTGCATGTCTGTGTGTATATGTGTGCCAGTGTATGTGTGCCTGTGTGTGCACGCATGCCAATGTGCATCTGTGCATGCACACGTGTCTGTGTTCGTGCATGCCCTTCTCACATGCCCACAATCTGTGCTGACAAGCTTTTGGAGGGGCCCCATGCATGCTTTCTGGCAAGTACACACTAGATTCCCCCACAAGCCCCAGGAAATCCATGGTCAACAGGGGTCAGCGCTAAGCAAAGAAAATTAAAACCCCAGGGGCCGTCTAGAAAAGAAGTAACACTAAATGAGCTAAATTGATTTTCCTCAATGGGATTTATAGATTTTGCAATTTTGGGCCAGGGCTGGGTTTGAATCCACCACCTCCAGCATATGGGGCCAGCACTCTACTCCTTTGAGCCACAGGCACTGCCTGGGATTTATATCTAAAATTATTCAATCATAAAATAAAACTAAAACCACACAATTTAGAGTTGGAGAGGTAACACTCCCTCTGTGGAAAAAAACAGCTTCTCATCTATAACATTTTCTCAATTGGCTGATTTACAACATGCACACACACACCTGCACACATACACACTCATACACAACACATGCGCACATTAAACACACACACACTCCCTACCACATGCACACATACGATGCACACACAAACAACACATATATGCAAACTCATGCACAACACACAACAAATACACACCACCCACAATAACACAGAACACACACAAGACACAACATATACACACACATGCACACAATACACCATACATACAACACATGCACAACACACACACAGACACACACCATATATACATACAATACACAAACGACACAGACACACACACACACATACTTTTTGAAACCAGGGCAGGTCAGGGCTCCATGGGCAGCACAGCACAGTGCCCTCTGGGCCAGGCCTGGAGGTGGAAGCCCCAGAGCAGCCTCTGGTCACTGTGCAACACCTCCAAACCACAGGTCCCTCAAAAGGAAAGCCACGGGAAGCCACAAAACCTCATGGCCTCATGCCTGTGCAAGCGAAGCTTGAGAGAGAGAGCACTCAGGCCAAAGCTGTGGGCAGAAGAGGCCTCGACACACTCCCCGACTCCAGAAACATCCAGGATAATACTCCCATCTCCAGCTGGGTCCTTCAATCCATCCTGCCCCGCATAACACCCAAGTCCTTCCAAGTGCAGGGGGTGTCGTCCACAACCCCTCTGTGGTCTGCCAAGAGGCCTTGACAGGGCCCTGACCGGGGCCCACCACCCCTTGAGGGCGAGCTCCCAAAGAGTAATCAGAGCAACCAACAGGGCCCTGCTTTCAGGCATTTGCCGCCCCTGCATGTGACCTCCCCACACCCTCCACTATCAGCAAGGCTGCTGCCTTTCTAGAAACCTCCCCACAGTGAGGAGCAGGTCTGACCATCTGGGACCCCAGGCCTGAGAAGTATCCTGAGCCCCCGGCACAGACAGACAGACCCTGCAGGGCAGACTTGCACCTGGGGCAGACACGCACCTGGACTCCATAGCACCTCACTCTGAGAGAGACAGGGATGCATGTGCCCACAGCAGCAATGATGCCCAGGTTCTGAGATGACCTCCAAGGCCGGTCTGATGATGAAGACACCAACACCAACCCACACTGGCACGAGGACAGGGCTGCACGGGCCCTTGACATGGTGCCTGACACACATGCCATGAATGTCAGCCTTCACATGGCTGCCCTACCCAGCTGAGCAAGGCAATCATTGAGCAGCAAGCCCAGACCAGCAGCCCGGAAACACCAGCAGAGCAAACTGCTGTGCTAGGTCTGAGCACATCTGTCCCAGGTGGGTTTCCCAGGCAGTACAGCATTGTGACTATGGATGCCAGGCAGCCAGCCCACTTGCAGACTGACATGTTCAAACCAACAGCTCTGTTCTGAATTTACCAAAATGGGCCGGGCACCATCGCTCTCCTGTAATCCCTCTAGTCTGGGAGGCTGAGGCAGAAACACTGCTTGAGGCCAGAAGTTTGAGACCAACCTAGGCAACAGCAAGAATCCATCCCTACCAAAAAAATGTAAAA